TTTTACTTCACTTCACTTTACTTTCTTTTCCTTTCACTTTCTATCATTAAATTATGGCTAACCAAATGGACCCATACAAATGAGAGATTGAGTGTTCAAATCTTGTTAGGACAAATGGTACGATCCCTCCTTTCCAAATGGGATAATTAAGTGTTCTAATCTCACTAGGGACATTTATTTGGGTGTTACCTTGAGAATTATGTAGGAGATGTTTAGAGTGCGTACGAGAGTTTTCAATGGATGGGATTGAAAAGAGTTATGAAACCCTTGTATACGAGAAGAAGAGATGACTTATCTTCAAACAAATATACCTAATTCTAGTGCATAGAACCACAATATATATATTAAAAATATTCGAATAAATTCCCACTCGATTCATGCATTTTAAGTTTTATTAAAAAAGAATGATCAGTCGTTTTACATGATTTAAAAAAATATAATTATCAAGATAGATGAATTGCTAATTTAAAACATTCTCTTTCATAAACTTGCTCAATTGTACGTGGATCATGAATGCATAAGTAAATAATTTATTAGTCTAAACAATTCTATGGTTTAAAAACTTATTACATCTAGAATTCTAGCAAATATACCGTGATTTTTACTGCATTTTATGATACGTGCAAACTATATGTAGTCTAAACTTACACCTCATCCTATATATAACGATACATGACCTGAACATATTTCAGCAAACTGATAAAGTATAATAGTCTACCAATACGGAGTCAATCACATATCTAAACACTAATTATCTTCATGTGATGTAAAACACTCCTTGCTAAAAAAAAAACTTTAATAATTATATTTAGATTTATTAATATAGTACCAACCTCAAATCTAATCCAAATAATCACAAGACTGTAATATCACTCTTAAACAAAAATTATGTTTGAATTTACTTCACTGCTTCGTATTGTTTTGAAATAACGCATTGCATCACATCATGTATAGTTTTTTTTAGATATATACAAATTATATAATTTAAGGTATAAGGGCATAAATTCTTACTTTTCTCGTCAAAAGATTGAAGAGGTCTAGAGTTTAAGTTTGGACTTCGAATGAAAAGAAGCAGAATGCAAAGAAAATAAACGAAAATGAAGAATAACTTAAATGGCATTTGGTCTGCAAAGACTGCAAATGAGGTAGGAAACGAAATGAAGGGGACCAGGAAAATGACATGAGAGTTACTGATTATGAATCATCTGTTTTTTTTTTTTTTTCTTTTATGTTTTCCTTTTATAATAATTGGATTTTTAGTTTTTCATTACTATTTACAAGGTAGAACAAAAAAAAATTTCTACATTGTAATTTGAAATAAAAACTTAAAACTTGGTTGGTTACAACTCTGAAAATAATTCTCAATAACTAATAAAACAAAAAACTTTCAAGAACATTTATAAGAGACAATTATTTGAAAACATGTTTTTTATAACTGAGTTTTTTGATTTGTACGTTTTTATGATTTTCAGTTATTTGAAAATAAATTTTTTTTTTTTAAATTACAAATAAAACATGTCCTAAATTCTTTCTTTATTTTTCGTAGTTATCTAAGTTCTAGGAGATGTTTACAGTATACTCTCTTTTTCTTTTTATTTATTTCATAATTACTGAACCTTTTTTTTTTTTTTCCCCTATATCTTATCAAAACGCATATTTATTTTTTTTATATATTAGAGCAACAAAAAAATGAATGTATAATAAAATTGACAGATGTCCCTAAAAAAATGCAGTACAAAATTTGCATCATTCTGGCGCAAAACCACCTTCTTCGTTGGGTTTGACGTGGCAACTTTAGTTGGTATTCCATATTTTATTTTTAATAATTTTCTCCATAAGAAACTCCAGTGGAAAGTCCTTGACGTTAGGATATGCTAGACATATCATCCATCCTTGTCCTGCCACGTATTGAAGGATTTAACTATCATAGAATTAAAAATATTAATAGCATCTGTTCATATGCTTTTGTTTTTTTATTTTTATTTTATTTTTAAAATTTTACTCATGGAATTAGGTACTAGGAGGAGATCGCCTGACCCTCGAAATTTTAAGGACGTCTTTTGTTTTGTTTTTGAATTTTTTATTTGCTAAAAAACAACATAGAAAACAAATTTGAAATTAGTTTTCACTCCATTTAAACCTTTTTAATGAAGAATTTGTTTTTACATACATTTTAACTTTACAAAGTAATAGTTTTTAAAATAATTATTGAGTGTTAGGTACTTCCAACGTCAATTTTATTATTTTTGAATTTTTTTTTATAAGTTGAGGAGTTAAACAAGGAATAGAATAAAATTCCTTTGACCAAATACTATTAATTGGTCATATATACAAAATTTATTTATTATATATGATGAATCAACAGTGTTAATGAATGTTTAACTACTCAGGCTAATTAACAATGCTCTTTTATTTTTTTTAAACAAAAATGAATTGAAAATGTATAAAAATAATTAAAAGAGCTTTAATCCAATTGTATCATCAAGCCATAATGATTTCACTTGATAAATAGGTTTACCTTTAGTCTGTTTTTTTTTGCTTTAATGAAAAATTTCACTTTTCTTTTTTATTAATTTAAAACTTGGGAAGCGATATTCGCACTTTACTTTTTTTTAATTGTAGTACACCCTAAAATTAAATGACAATTCTAACCCTAACTTTACAAGTAAATAATAATAATTTTTTAAATGACTCCTTTAAGATTTCCTCTCCTTTTTTCACTAATTTTTAATATTTTATATCTTTTTTGACAAGACAAAAAAAAATTTATGTTGAATAAATTGCTTCTTTAGAACTGATAAAAATAAAAATAAAAATAAAAAAGTAACTGTTAAAAAAATTATTTCTTTTGATAGAAAAAAATAGTTTATTTTTATTGAATAAATTATTTCGTTTAATGGGACCTATAAAAATTTACCAAAAAAAAAAAAAGTTTCCCGTTTTGAAAGGGCTGCAAAAAGTTAACTTTATTGAATAAATTAGATTGTAACAGAAAAAGTATAACACCCGAAAAAATAATAATAATAATAGTAAAAGAAGTAAAGAAGATAAGAAAGAAGAAGTTAAAGTCGTATAAAACATTATAAAACAGGTACATTAATGAATTAAATGACCTACTTGTTATTTTCTATTAAAATAAAGATAAGTGGTTAAATGCTTTGACACACTCTCATGTTTGCCTTTGTTGCTTATAGATTAAACTAGTGAAAAAAAAAAAAAAAAAAAAAATCCCTAAATCTCTCCCTCAGGTTTGGTTAACTTTGTCTTGACACCCCTTTCGTTAATTGACTGTTAAAAAATAAAAAATCAACTAATTAAAAAAATATAATGCCAAAACTACCCTTGTCTAGTGAAAATGAGATGTCCAAGCCGAGCCCGAGCCCAACCCATAATTAACTTCTCCTGTCCAAGCCCGCCCATGAACTCACGCCTCTGTATTCAAAATGTTAAAAATAATAAATTTGTGCAGCTACAAGAACTCGAACAACATTCCTCTAAGGAAAATTTCAAACACACTACCAACTAAACTATTATACACTTGTGAAATAATATAATTTAAAAATAAATATACCATTTTCAGGCTCGGGTTGGGCTTCGGGCTTTATATAATATCAACCCAAACCCAGCCCCAAATTTAATTCGGACTCAGAATATCTAACCTAAACCCAAACCTAGAACAAAAAAACACTGCCCAAGCCCTGAAAATTTCGGGCTGGGCTTGGGTAAATTCGGGCTGGCCTTGCCTGAGTTGCAGCCCTAGCCATAAGTGAGTTTGAGACCAACTAGGCCATAGATGACATGAACCTGGACTTTCTTTGTTTAATTTTCCATTGAGTTAGATGTTTAATTGAGGCATATATTAAATAATATTGTGAAATTATACTAACGTATTGTTGGATGTTTAATTGAGGTATATGATTGGTAAAGTTAATTATATGTTTCATGCTGACTAATATTTCAGTGTTTTCAATCAATTAACTCATAAAATGAAAGAAGGCAAAGATAAAAAAAATGAAAAGAAAAGAAAAGAAGAAAGAAAATAGAGAAAAAATATACTTCCTCCGTCTCAAAATAAGTATCATGTTTTTCTTTTTTATCTGTCCCAAAATAATTGTCCACTTTTCTTTTTTAGACAATATATTTCACATCTTTTCATGTATGCCATTTGAATTTAAATTTTTAAACTTGAATATTCAAAACAAAAGACAAGTTAATAATTTTTTAAAGAGGCAATGCATGTCCCCTTAAAATTTATTATTCTCCATAAGTGACACTTAAATTGGGACAAAAGAAGTATATATTATGAACATTATATAAAATATATTAAGTAATATTATTGGCTTAATAAGTTAAATTGTATTCATAATATTAATCAATTTCATAATAATTTTATTTGATTTATTTAAAGAAAAACCATGAAGGAAATTAGATTAGGACTATCAGATGTTGTTTTTGGGATTTTTCGTGAGATGCCCAATCACGAGTGTATTATAGATTCTTACACACATGGTTACAGCACTTTTTTGATTTATGGCTTATGCCTTAATTAAAATGATATATCTAAGTTAATTTTGATTGATATTTATGTCTAAATTAAAAAGACTTAAATTGGGGAAGAGTAATTTTGACATTACATTTTTTTATTAGCTGACTTTTTACTTTTTTTAACGATCAACTAACGAAAAGGGAGTGTCAAGGCAAAATTAACCAAACTTAAAAGGGAGGTTTAAGGATTTTTTTTCCACTAATTTAATATATGAGAAATAAAGGCAAATTTAACCCAAAGATAAATAAAGTCATATGGCCATTGGCCGCCTTCAAAATTTCGAGATAATAAATATCCAGTCTTTCTTTTCTCTTTCACACGCGTAAATTTGTCACAGTTTCTGGATGGGCCCCGACGGACCGTCTGTGGAGTCCACAGTACAGAGGTGGGTCCCATTCGTAGACACAGTGAGTGTGTTATATTTATTCAAAACAAACCTCACACCCACCCAAAGCATTAAAAAAAAAAAAAAAAACCAGTTTACTAGTAAACAATGTTGCAGCAAAATCTCAAGTCATTGCTCTTCTCCAATCCCTTCCTCTCAACCCCGCTTAGTTTTCAAAGGTACGACTGATGAATCAATTTATATATATATATATTACTTCTTTAAATCCATTTTTGCGCCCTATTATTTGCTCTTTTGCGCTATTTTTTATTAATTTGGACAATGGTTACGAATTCGAGTTCAGATATGTTTTTTTCTTTATTTGCTTCTGAATCTACATGTCCAATTCCCCCACTGGAGTCTATACGGATCTGGTTTTTTAGGTTTTAGATCGATATGCAATGGATGATCAATCGGTGTGATATATATATCATCAATGTCAATTTCTGTTTGTGTCATTGTTTGCATTTTTAAGGCTTATTGGTGATTTCCTCCTTCAATTGTGTGTGTGTTTGTGTGTTTGTGTGTTTGAGATCATATTCCTGATGTTGCATGCAATGATGTTGATGGTTTTTATCTTGTTTTTCTATGATTTTAGATAATTACTGTTCAGATTCGTTGTCAAATTGATTGATACTCATTGTGAATTCAGCAGGGTTATGCTGCTATTTTTGATAGTCGGTGTTCCCTAATTTATTGTTACGGAATTTGGGAGGAAGAAAGAAAAGTGAATGTTTGAAGTTTAATTCTATAGATATGGTAAAGGGGACTGCCTGAGTATTAAACAGGTGCCATTATCCACTTACATGTTTATCTATTTGATAACAAGTGATATAGGATATAGGATAACAGATTTAACCTTTTTATTCACATATTGAAACAGATTTAACCTTTTTATATATGTAAGTACAGCAATCTAAACTGGAAACTTTCAGAGCAGTACTCTAAACTAGCAACTTTCAGACTTTGGATCTTTTTCAAACACCCATTGCGGTGATTCTTATTGTAATTAGTCTCAACGGTAACTGTAAGATTCAAATGTTGAAATATACCAAATTTGGGTTTTCAAGCTGTTGGGTTTATATATTTGTAGTTTCATTGACACATGAGTTGTCTTGAATGACAAGGGCATAAGACGTGTTCAAGACTTGATGTTATGCTTGTGCAATTTTGACTGAACTCCAATATATTATTTTTGGAACCCCAGCTACTCCTTGAGAGAAATTTTGATGGAGTTTCACATAGCATCATATTTTGGAATCTAATTGAAAGGAATGATTTAGTTGCGGGGAAATGTAAAGATGAGGACTGAGGTATCCAAGGGCGGATCCAGGAATTGTCAATGGGGTGGGCTAATACTAGTAATAAATTTTTTTTTTTTGGGCTGTGCTAAAATTAGGTATAGTAAAAAAAAAAAAAATTTTTTTTTTTTTGGGGTGGGTTTGAGCACACCCAAGCCCCCCCTTGGATCCACCAGTGGAGGTATCCGATGCTGTTATGTAACGCTTGTTATGCTTTGTGTCCGTTACATAGTGACCGTGTTCATATCTGTAGCTGTGTCGGCGATTTGTAATTATTTGCGTGCACCTATATGTTATGGTTTATGTCATTCTCTTGATTTTCCCTCTAAATTTGTTCTTTGTTGGGTTTACACAAGAATAAACTATGTACTACCTTGTCGTAATCTCTATATGAATTATTTGTTTTGAATGGATTCTAGCAGTTGAATGTAGGCTTGGGCTAGCATATGGAAATGGTTAAACCTTCTTTAAAGCCATTTAGCATGGAGGTACTGTTTAAGTGAAATGTTTAGCATTTAATTTTCCTTGGTGCACAGGAATGAAGCATTTTGATTTCTGGATAAGATCATGGTACAGTGCCTAGACTGTGTAAAGCATATGCTTTCTGTTGTTGTGAATTGCTGTGATGCCGATTTACATAAGCAACCCACGGGTCTGGGAAATCCGGAAGCTCTTGCAAGGGAGACAATATGTATGTCACCTTTCTTTGTTAGACTTTGTGGAGGCATTAATTGAAGTGCTATACGAGACTAGTATGCTTTTGTCTTTCTGTTCTTTAGTTGATGGTGTTGTGTTCAACTTCTGCTTATTTGTAATTTTTAATCATCTCTTGTTCTTTTATTTATTTTATATTTCTTAGTTTGACTTGGTTCATTCACTTAATAACAAAGTTGTATGTCGAAACATTCTGTAAGAATGAAGCAAAATATAATACGATTAGGACTGGGAGGATTAATTTTGATGGGTGTCAAATCATGATTATCAGATGGGCTTCTGAATTATTTGACCTTCCTTTAAGCTTGCGATGTCAATTGAGAACACAAATGAATCACATGCAGCCAAGCATTGATTCATCCAGGTTCAAGATGGTATCATCTACATTTGAGCACTTGTGTCAAATTTAGTCATCCGCTCCAGCTTGGCTTGGTAATAATTCAGCAAGCTCATGCTTGGATTGGCTCAGCTGGCGAAATACAATTTAGTTTAAGTTTTGAAAAAAAAAAAAAAAAAAAGAAGAAAGGTATCAATTGATGGTGATTGGTTATATTGGTTGTGAAGGTGGAGTCCTTAGATTTTAAAAAAGGGCAACAAAATCTTACTTATATTTTCCTGGGATCATAGTAAGATTTTTCCATAGCAAGTGTGTTCTTTTATTTTGTTCACAATATTATCCTTTTAACTTATTGTGGAGTGGACTTTTCCCTATACTTGCATGTAGATGTGTCGGAATATGAAATGCCCTTTGAGAACACACAATCACATATCATGAACCTGTGGAGATATCACCATGTTGATTGAGCTCTATTAGGTGTATGAGTCATTGCTTAGCAATTTTCTACTCAAAACTTGTGTTGTAATGTATGTCAATGTTATGAGTTATTCATCTACAACAATGGAAGATGATAGAAATGGAGCTTAGCAAAGAATACGGTGAAAATCTCTCAAGACTTAATCACTTATCTAGGCTAAAGATAAGTTGAGACTATAGAGACCAATTATGACTTAGGTTTGATCTTTAGAATGCTAAAATAATTGTTTTAATCATGTTTATCAAAATTGGGGTTTTTGATAAAATGATAAACAAGAATTTTTACAAAACAATATAACTTGATCGAATGATTGATCGATCGATCAAGATTTTGCAGCAAAAAATATTTTAAAATCCAGAATACCTTGATTAATAGCTTGATCAATTGAAGCTTGTCCAGTGAGTCTGGATCAATGGCTTGATGGATTGAACCGTGTGGATACACTTTTATGGAAACTCTCTCAAATCAAAAGTCTAAAAGGATTTTACTTACTATACTACATGGGTTTCCTATATTGGCTTTAAATATGGGGATATAGTCAGTCTACGGCATCTCTCACAGGATTTTCCAATTCCTTACATATATTGAGAGAATTTTGGATGGAGAAACTTTGAGAATCAATCTAGGGTTCTTCATAAATTACCATTTTATATGTGATTGAGATAATCAAAGTAAGGGGCTGAATTGAGAATCTATCAGAGCATCAACCGAGTTGTTCACCAAGAACAAGTTGAATTGGACGACTAGTGACTGAGACCAAAATCAGTAGAAAAGTAGATTCGTGAGGAGCGGAAGCAGAGTATGCAGTTGATGAGTGGAATGCTGGGTTTGTGTCTCAAATTCTTGAAGATTGCTGAATGTTGAAGAAGTCTGACCGGTCCGACTTGGTTCTGTTGTAGCACGTTGCTGAGTCGGATCGGTTGCACTTTGCCTGATGAGTTGCGGGATTTGCTTCCTTAATTAGAAGATGTTCTTTTCTATAGGCTGAAGACTTGCGGAGCAAGGCTGAAGACTTGTGGAAGAAGTTGTGTCTCATTAGGCATCTATTCCTTGTTCAAGAAGGAATGGGTTGAAGAGTACTCTATAAAAAGAGGTGGAGTTGGCTGGAAGAAGAAGAAGCATGGGTTGAAAGTGAGTGTTGTGAGGAGAGGAGTATATGTAATTCCTGTGTGTAAGAGATGTAGCCTCAAAATATGATGAGTGAGTGAGTGGGGTAGGGGCATCTATAGTAAAAATTCTTATAGTAAAAGTTTTTCTCTCCGTGGATGTGGCCCTAGAGGATTGGGTGAACCACATTAAATATTGTGTTGTGCTTGAATGATGTATGACTGTATCTCCATGTTCATGCTATGTATGTTTGATGGTTGTGTGATGATATACTTCCTCTGTGCTTGAATGAAAGGGAATTCAAAACTAGTTGGAGGGAGTTAATATTTCCAACATGGAAGGACGGACTGGAGTTTTCTCCGTCAGGAGGTAATTAGAAGATTCTTGGTGTAGAGTCTCTTGACCTAGGTTGCACTCTCTTTCTCACATAGTGGATTTTGGTTTGGTTGAACTAGGTCTCGTGATTTTTCTCCTTTGGGGTTTTTTATGTAAAAAATGTTGTCTACTTTATTTTATTCATTGCTTTATATGTTTATATATGATTGCAATTGAGACACTTGATCAAACTAATTAATTGAGTTTTAAACTAGAATAACGATAATTTAAAACGTTAATTAGTTGCAAACTAATATCCATAAAACCTAATTCACTCAATTGTTTTATAATGGAACTTTGAACTTGGATTCAGTTTCAGCTCTGTTGAGCCAGTATATGAGGTCAAATGGGCTCCAAACAAGCGAGCTCAAGCTGTTGGTTCTTTTACCTATTTTACACAAAAAAAGTTGGCTTCTATAATAGATTAAAAGACCATTACCCTTTGTATAAATATTTCTGAGCTAAAATGTTACACTTGTAAGGAAAATCTTGTTATTCTCTGTTTGATCCTTCGTCCTAATTAATTACCCAATGACCTTACCCCCTCTAGCCCTATCAATTTTAGCAATAGCATTCTGGTTGCATTGAACTCAGTTCTATTCAGGATGACTGCTCTCGATACCAGTTACCAACTTAAGATAAGAATTTGCTGGTGCAGCTTTATAATTCCATTTTTGGCTTTAAAGTATGCAACCTGATTGGAAGTGTTAGGCATAATTCAAAAGCCTGAGGATTGGTCGGTGATTTATAAACTTTAGCTATTAGTTGTTCTGCTAAGCAGTTATTATGCAATAAATAGTTAGCTGGGAATTCTGGAAAACTTAAATGTTTAGAAGGATAAGAACATGACTTCGCAAATCTTGGTCTCCCATCTCCCATTGGCAATTTTTATCATAAACTTCAGATTATTAAGATTGCTTTATTTTTTACATTTTATTTGCTTGATGGATGGGATGTTTGGAAGTTTACAAAAACTAGTAAAAGTGCAAGTGCTATGGAAGTTTTACATAAGAGAATTAAAAAAAGGGACTTTAAATTACCCAAAGAATAAAAATAAAGTAGATATTAGTGTACTTTAAGTATTAAAATGTATAGAAGCTAATTAGTACATTTAGTTTTCCAAATAGAATAGAAATGTGGATGGACATACATTGAAGTGAAAAATCTCATAAGTTAGTTATGATTCATTGATATATGTTTGTAAACTTATTGGTATATATTAATTTTCCAAATAAAATAAAATCTGGATGGATACACATTATGACTAATATATGTCGAAAGAAATTATATATGTGATTATCATTCAAAAATGTATATAAATTAATTAGCATATATTAGGTGTTGTTTGATAACCCAATTCAGTTCTTAATTCCGAATGGGTTAACTGTCTATCCAATTAGATACATCTGATAACGCATTCTGTATGTCACTTAAAAAAAATATGTGCCACTAAAAATGTGCTAAATTCGTAGTGACAGTGACTTCACTTATCATTGAATGCTGAACACTTAAAAAATCAAAACAATATCAAAACAATCTCTTAATTTACAATACTTAAAACTTTAGCACTTCAAATTTTCATTACTTAATTTTTAGTTTTATCAAGCAACACCCTCAAATAGAATATGAATGTAAATGGGCGTCCGTTGGTAAAGTAAAAGTCTATTATAAATTACGTTTTGTTGATATAAACTTACATAGTGATGAGAAGTTTATGAATATGCAAATAAATAATAGACCAATAAATATTGAAAGGAAGTAGATATGTGATTAGTTATTCATTAAATATTATATTAAAAAGACTACTTGACATTTAAATAGTAGCATATTTTAGGAATCATTTTTTTAGGACAAGGTAGAAAGGGAATGATTTGAAGTTTTCAGGGGAGGAATTTGGGTGTACTGTAAGTGGTATTACTGTATTTAATTAGAAAATGCTGGTATAAAGTATAAAAAAAAAGAGAGCTAGAAGTTGGGTTTCTTCTAATAGAATGGTAATTGTGATTCAAGAACCACTTGGCAAGAAAGTGGAAATTAGATCTCTGTTTACATAAAATAGGTTATATATGAAGAGGAGATGGGGTTGGGATTGGGAAGTCTATTGCTTTTGGAAACTTTCAGGTTGTATCTTCATGTACTATTACCTCACTTGAATCCTGATTCAGTCATGGATGGTGGACTATGTAGGCTACTGAGACATGCCATTTATTTCAACCATAGTTGAATTTTGGCATTCACTTTTAAACCTAAACCAGTAAGTTGAATATTTGTTAATTATTATAGGGTAGAGAAAACACATGACTGTTGATGATTATTTGATCCTCGCTCAGGTTGGTTTTCTGATATCCAGCTTTGTGCTTATTAATCACACTTTTATTCTTTTATTTTATAAAAGAATATTTACTCTGCTAATTAATCTTTTGTCTTTCTTTAAATGCAGTTAGTGTGAGTGAAATAGAAGCGTTGTATGAACTCTATAAGAAAATAAGCAGTGCTGTGGTTGATGATGGGCTTATAAACAAGGTCAGAAATGTCATGTTTTAGGCTGTTATTCTATTTATGCTTTGGGCTATGATGATGTTCACTCTTTTGGTGTGGCAACAGCACTTTCTATATCCTTTTAATATGGATACAGATATTTCCTTGTTAGTATAGGTTCTTTTCTCATAATGTTTGATGCAGTTTTACTTCTGAACAATCTTTTTTATTATTGTTGATGAATTGGTTTCCTGGTCATTACAGGAAGACTTTCAACTGGCATTATTTAAGACAAACAAAAAGGAGAGCTTGTTTGCAGACCGGGTATCTTTTCTGTAGGTCAAAAACATACAGTTGATTTGTTTATTGAGTGTCTGCCTTCTCACAAAATTATGAAACCTTTTGCACAGCTTATGTTCAGTCACACGAGTTTTGGCTGTATGTTTGCATCCTGTTATCGCGTTATACATACTTTAAATTGACACTCAATTGAAAATTCAACTCTAAGAGCTATAATATGCATTCACAATTTTCTGTATAGCTTATTGTTGGTTGGGACGTTGGGTTTGTTTGATTGACACCGACACACACACTTTAGTTGCCTTGTAATCGTGTCAGTTTTATTTTCCCCATATTCTTTGCTAAGAGTTTCAAGAAAGTTTTGGTTCCATTAATGCCCATCTTAAAATTTTGTAGGTGTTTGACTTGTTTGATACAAAACACAATGGGATATTAAAATTTGAAGAGTTTGCACGGGCGCTTTCTGTCTTTCATCCCAATGCACAAATTGATGATAAAATCGAATGTAAGCTGCGGCCGTTGTTGTAATTTCATTCTTGTTTTCTTTTATTTTCTTCCTCTTGTCAATGTGTGGAATCCATCCAAAATACGTAGCAAGGGAGATATATAGTTTGTTAAATTCTTAGAACATGTGACCATGTGCTATAATTGTCTGTCTTTCTGTATGCAAAAATATTGATATAGATTAACTGATGGTACTGTTAGAGTAAGTGAATTTGGGCTGTACCTACCTCCTTGGCCAGCAAACAGTTCGGATTCTGATTGGACTGTTGTCAACTCTACTCCAATTTAACTATGAAAAAAAAAACTCTAATCCAATTTGTTAAGAAAAATGACTGACTCAATCCAATCAATAAGCCAATGGATTGATGTTATTTCCATCCGGATTTGGATCTGTTAAATAAGGGATATTCTATGCGAAAGTCCGACTTGATTCAAGTAATGCTAAAATTTCCAAAAAAATATATTCCAAATACTGGGTTTAATTGAATTTCAAATGGATTGATTTATACAAAGAGCACAAAGACGAAAAATCAGTCAATACACTTCCCCCCTCTAGAGGGAGAGAGAGAGACTATGATAGTCGTGGCACCTTTTAGAAATAATAAAAGCAAATAAAATATTAAAAAACTAAAATTTGATAGAAAAAACATATATGTCTGTGTGTGTACTGAGAGAGAGAGGAATGAATAATAACTTGAGGTTGTGGGATGAAGATACAAGCCACCAGAAGACGTGTGTGTGTGTATGAGAGAGGAAGGGAGGGAGAGAGAGAAAGAGATAGATAGAAAGAGAGAGGGAGAGAGAGAAAATGGTCACTTTGAATAATCTTTTGGTTTTGAAGCATGGTCATTATATTATCAATATTCGGCTCTTTATTAAATTTATATTCCATTATTCAGTTTTAGTCCTACTATTTTTTAAACCTTTTGATTCTAATGTGTTTCTACACCTTTCTAATTTTATTGCAAAATTTTCTTTAGAAATGTTCAATTGTACTATGTCAGACAAACAACATGCACCATAAAATGTCTCCTTGCAAGTCTTTTGTGATTTCATCTAATGTTATTGTGGATAAACATGGACTGAGTGCAGACCCTTGGTGTGATCCTACATTTATAAAAAAATCATTATTCTCACCACATGAAGTACAGGACTCTAAAAAGGCCTAGCTCAGTATACGAGACTCTGCCATTACGAGGATATGGGAGGGTTTGATGTACGCAGTCTTACCTTTGCATCTGGAGAGGTTGTTCTCCGTTTCGAACCTGTGACCTGAAGGTCACAATGGAACAACCTTACCGTTGGGCTAAAGTCCGTCCTTGTGTGAACTCTAGTTTCTATATTTACATATATATCTTAAATAATCTTTATTATTTCTATAGAAATATGTTTTCTTTGTAAATTCCACCAAATTATATCTTTCAGTACCCTATCATATATTTTGCAAGTCAAATGTAGATCTTTTTGCTTACTCCTACACTCTTCAACTAACTGTCTTATTAAGTGAATAGTCTCCATTGTGGATCCCCTTGGCATAAATCCAAATGTTTATCAGACACTGGATTTCTTTCTTAATCTTTACTATGTCACCCTTTTCCATAGTTTCACTGTATGACATTAATTTAATTCCTCTATATTTATTGCAATTTTTGTATCCCCTTTGTTTCTGGAAATAGGTACTATTGCATTTTTCCTCCACTCATATGGCATCGTTCCCTCTTTTAGGATTTTGTTAAATAAAATTGTTAGCCATTCGATCCCTATTTTTTCTAACGTTCTCCAGGCTTCTAGAGATGTAGACATGGTATGAATATACCATGTATGAAGATGCTATATTTCATGTTGGATCAAAATCATTTGTCAGATCAACTCAAACAGCCGATCTGCTACTTAAGGTTCTAATTTATTTGGTTCATAATTGGGTGACTGGATAAGAGTTCTACTACCATCTCCAACCTAGCTGATGGGGTTCAAATTGGCTTTAGATTTAAATTCGATCCGTTGACAAGTCCTAGTACCTGCTATTATATTAGTAGATATAATTTTTAATTTAGGGTAAGTTTCGTTATTTAGCATGGATTCTTCACCATTTTTTGAGTGATCTCATGGTGATGCTGTAATTTTTTTACGCTGGCATTGTTACCTTTTATCTTGCAGTTTCATTTCGACTGTATGATCTCAATCAGCAAGGGTTCATAGAGAGAAATGAGGTAATTTTTTATTCTTCACCTCCCCACTCAACTCCCCCCCCCCTCCCCCCTCTCCTCTTTTTTTTTTTTGAGTGAAACAGATCGATCAGTGTTTTTGAATGTTGTTTTTCATTCCAATGCAAAACATTATTATTATTATTTTCCCTTCATGTCCCATTCTCTGAAATTTAGATTTTCGCTGCTGGACTGGCACCGGTATTCTTTTAATGGTGCATATCTGGGAAATGCAAAATTAGAATGTGTATGTTATGCCGCCCAATCTTATATCTGACTATATATATAGTTAATATATACTGTATGTAATTATTGTTAATTTATTTTATATTTAGGAGCTACATTTTGGTCGAGACATATTTTTCCCATAATATTTTATTGTGATGATTAAGTTACCTAATTACTGTACATTATGTCTTTTTTTTTTCTTTTTTTTTTTTTAATATTATATATATATATATGTTCCCACCATCTAGTTAGTAAAATTTGTGTTTATTTTTCATATTTCAAGAATCGGTGTAGGAGAATTAAGAAATTATTCTTTTACTTAGTATGGTCTACAAGCCAATGATTCTGGTACCTGTTGACATTGTACATCCTTCATGCATGTTTTGGAGTTCATTGGATCGATGGTTGTATCATGTACAGGTAAAGCAAATGGTGGTTGCTACGCTTGCTGAATCTGGAATGAATCTTTCAGATGACGTAATTGAAAGTATCATAAACAAGGTGCTTCTAAAATCTGATTTACTTTTGTTTCATATGTCAAGGTCAATTTGATATTAATGTTGTTTACCATCTTTGTTGCAATCGCGCGGTCCTATAATTCTGTGGATAGTGTAGGTTTCATGTTATGCTTGTGTCCTTTTTCCAAATTATATATAGTTTAAGGATGAGAGTATTATCTTTTGCCTGTTAAACTTTATAACGGACCAAGCAAATCTTGATAACCTTATCAGAATGCATATCTGGAAGGTCAAATGCAGGGGAAAAAAAAATGTGGTGGTTAAAATCTAACCAACAGATTTAGGAAAATAAAAATAAAAATAAAATCTAAGCAACAGTGCTCACTTAGTGATTGTTTGTGGTATTAGGTTCTGCTTGTTGTGGTGCAGGCCGCATATAGGCAGCCATTTCCTAATGCCTTGATACTCTCATTCCAAGCAGAGATTCAAGGATGTTGTGGCTTGGTGTACTGTCATGCTGAAGCATGTGTGTAAGGGCTTCCTCCAGTGGTCTCGTCTCCCCTATACCCATTGGCTCTCACCTCTATGGCTCTATCTAACGAGTCTATACTTTGGGAGAGTGGAAAGTGAGAATGAAAAATGGTTCTTTTTGACAAAGATATTGCATTGGACCCATCCTCTTTGGTTTACATGCACCTAGGCCAGACATGTGACCTTGTCTATAAATGTCCTCTTCACTTGTGAGCAAATGGTATCACTCTAGACAAGGGGTTCTTCTATCTCTCTCACTTCTCTCCCCTCCTTTCCCTTCTCAGACCATTTTCCTAGAATCCTATCGGCAAATGTCAACATTTTGGCAACTCCACTGGAGTGGATATCATACAAACCACAATACTTTTTGTTTTGGGGACGCTTCCTCCTAAAATTCTTGAATTGGGTGGAATCAAATATTTTTCTTAACAGATGATATGAGGATGACCTATGATTGGGCCTGATCTGTTCCCAGGCCTAATTGCATCAGTATAGGGAACAAAGCTTGGACATCCACTGAGATTGAGTATGAACTGGGTACAGCTTATTGTGGTGTCTTCAGTTACGGGAGCCGTGAACATTCTTATGTTATCCAGTGAATAATACATTGTGTAAGATTAGATTGGGCTTCCAATAAGTATTCCTACTTTAGAGGGAATTAGAAAGTAAAGCATGAACATGCTGAATTTGGCTACAAGACGGTAGAAGTTATTTTTCACTCTCCATCTTCCTCTTTATAAACTATATCGTCATTTAAAGAAAATTCTGGGGTCGCCAAAAAAGTAGCCTTATTATATCTTTATCTGGTGCAAGTTTCTTATATTTAAGTTTAGCATGACATTTAAGATTGAGATGCCATGTAATGACCATCTACAACCTGCGTCATGACAATAGTTGAGGAAATTCATGTTGCTTACTATACTTGGTAAATAATGCGAATATGTAGATTGTTTTGCTCTTGTATTCTATTCATCAACTTGATAACTCAGTTAAGGCACAGTAATATTCGGCTACTGTGTTCGTACTTGAACTTTTGAACACAGTTCCTCTTGCAATAATCATAATAGATATGTCCTTGTTTGCTATGTTTCAGACCTTTGAGGAAGCTGATACCAAACATGACGGGAAGATTGACAAAGAAGAATGGCGAAGCCTTGTTTTGCGACATCCTTCTCTTTTGAAGAATATGACCCTCCAATACCTCAAGTAAGTTCTAATTTAGTTACAACTTCGTGCGCCGTTGTCAATGTGAATTTTTGTCAGCCATAAATTTTGCTCTATTGAATTTCCCAAAAAAGATGACACTTAAAAACAAGTTGTGTGGATTTTTATTATCGTGTGACTCATTTGGAAACATTCATTGATTTCTTTGAAGTTGTAGTTGTACTTAACAATGATTTTTCAAATTGCTTTATGTTACAAAGTGATTAGATTGTACATTGCTCAGGCTAAGTTTAGGGGCAGATGATCCATTATTTTCATACAGGTGTCATGGGTGGATAACCCTTGTAAACCAGCAGTTGGTGGACAACTGCCATGTGATTATCCCTTTTGCTAGTTATTTATCATCCTTTTACGAATATAATACCATTGCTGTTGGGTAGTTTGAGATATTGTCTTGAATAAAACGTAATAAATCTATGAATTTAATGGTTTCTATTCCTTTTACAAAAAGAATCTGTTTTTGAAATTGATTAGGTTTTGCTGGTTAAGATTAATGGTGTCCTTTAGAAATTTCCCAGTCATTGATCTGGAGTTTTTTGACCATGACAATTTTTTGAATCACATTCTCTGGTAGCTAATTTTGTTTAATTTTCTGTGGACAGAGACATCACCACCACATTCCCAAGCTTTGTATTTCACTCTCAAGTTGATGATACCTGAGTCTCGAACCTACATCAAATATACTTATCTTCAGCAGTCTTCAGTGGTATTGCTTTGTTCCTTCTGTATGCAAACAACCTGTCCAATTATCAGCAGCAGGGAGAAGGGATGTTAATAGCTTCATGTATAGAATAGAAAAAGTTTTTAGATTATTTGAGGTTTTCAGTTAGCACAAATACCATGTTCTTGTTTAATAAATGTTACAGAGGGGAAAAAGTAAAAAGGAAAGGCATCTAGCTTTGTTCATTTTTGTGTTACAAGCTTCTGCTGAGAAGGCTTATAGGCTCTTCACGCACAGACCGTCATCGGACTTCATTGTATTAGCTCCTCCAGGGTTTGGAGGAATGGGTTCGTGATTGGATGAGAGTGAGACTTGAGAGGTTTTTACTATCTAAATTCTGAACATTGACCGCTTGTTTAATATGAATCAGAGACCAGAAGTTAAGAATATCTGGATGCAATTAATCATTGAGCTAGACCCCAAAGGTGTGCCATGTAATGTAGTTAAAATAGCATGAAGCATAAGCTAATTGAATCACAAAGTTGTGGCTTAGAATGGTATGTGCTCCACCTTCTCAAATAGGAAGTTAAAAGGTTTCAAGCCCAAAGGCATTTTTCTTTCTAGTCCAGTGCACAGAATTTCTGCCATTGTGAGGGTGATGGAGCTGTTTTCAGTTCTTATTTTAACCTCCAGGCCTCGGTGTCTACAAGTTTAATTGGGATTTTTTTTTTTTTAATTTTAATTTTAATTTTTTTATTTTTAACTAATAATAATAATAATAATCATATACCAAACTCTACAAGGAACCAGCCATGTTTTAGGAGACAATTACAATCAAACACCTCGCAGCTGCCACTCGCTCTTAACTAATGACACTAAGACCATTCAATTATCAGTAAAGAATAGACAGATTTCTCATAGAGAAGCCTCACAATGGATCGGTAGTGTCCTTTTAGGCAAGCCATGTGCCAAGCCTACCTCTACCTCCTGCTACTGCCTACCCTGTTGGGAGGCAGACAGTAAAATAGAAATCTCCTAATAAAAAGAACAAGACACAAAAGTAAAATAGAAATCTCCTAATAAAAAGAACAAGACACAAAAGGATGATCACCTTTTCATTAGGAAATAGAAGGAAGCATCTTCAAAACCACACCTAGAATATATAACATATCTACAAGCTTCCCAACAGGCAACATCCATCAAACTTTGAAATTTTAAACCAAACAATTCGATAAAAAAAAGAAAAAAAAAGAAGGCGGCACGAGGAAGAAATTCATTCCCTGTATTAGCAGGAGAAGACAAAAAGAAGAAATTCGTTCATAGCAAAAGAAATAGGATAAAGAGCTACGACAAAACACCATTTTGTCCCAACAATATTATAAAGATCTATTCCTCTTACCAACTCCAGAAAACTAAAGGACAATCACAAAAATAAACATACCCAACCAACAGATTATAGAAATTAGATATCTAAGTTTTCAATTAATCAGATTTAATCGACCTCCTCCATCTTGCTCCCTTCAGCATCAGCATCAGCTTCCTCCAAAGGCGGCATATCAGTGTCAGCTTCGGCACTATCTTCATCAATGCTCAACCCCAGCTTCAACATTCTGTGGATCCTATTGCCGAAGGTGTTGGGGTCATCCAAGCTGAAGCCAGAGGTAAGCATGGCAGTCTCGAAGAGCAGGAGGACCAAATCCTTGACTGACTTGTCGTTCTTATCTGCATCAGCTCTCTTCCTCAGCTCCTCCATGATGGCATTCTCAGGGTTGATCTCCATTGTCTTCTTACTGGACATGTAACCAGCCATGCTTGAATCTCTCAGAGCTTGAGCCTTCATGATCCTCTCCATATTAGCAGTCCATCCATACTCACCGGTAACCAAACAGCAGGGAGAATCCACCACACGATCAGAAACCACAACCTTCTCCACCTTGTCTCCCAGCACGTCCTTCATTACCTTGCACAGACCCTCAAACTTTTCTTTCAATTCTTCTTGCTTCTTCTTCTCATCTTCACTCTCATCAAGTTTCAAACCTTCCTTAGTTGCGGAAACAAGCTTCTTACCCTCGAACTCTTTCAGCTGACCCACTGCATATTCATCAATTGCGTCAACCATGTACAGAACCTCATAACCCTTCTTCTTCAGCTTCTCAAGGAAGGGCGAGTTTTCAACTGCCTTCTTGCTCTCGCCAGTGATATAATAGATGTCACTTTGGCCTTCCTTCATCCTTGTGACATAATCCTTCAGGCTGGTCAGCTCATCTCCACTCTTGGTGGAGTGGTAGCGGAGCAATTCAGCAATCTTAGTTCGGTTCGTGGAATCCTCATGAATACCAAGCTTGAGGTTCTTTGAGAATGCTTCATAGAACTTGTTGTAGTCCTCTTTGTTCTCAGCAATCTCAAAGAAGAGTTCAATGCATTTCTTGACCAGGTTTTTGCGGATAACCTTGAGAATCTTGTTCTGCTGTAGCATTTCTCTGGAGATGTTTAGAGGAAGATCCTCAGAATCCACAATGCCCTTCACAAAGCCAAGGAATTCAGGGATCAACTCCTCACAGTTATCCATGATGAATACACGGCGGACATAGAGCTTGATATTGTTTTGTTTCTTCCTGGTGTCAAACAGGTCAAAGGGTGCCCTCTTAGGGACAAATAGGATAGCCTTGAACTCAAGCTGTCCCTCAACAGAGAAGTGCTTGACAGCCAGATGCTCCTCCCAGTCATTCGTGAGACTCTTGTAAAATGCACCATACTCTTCTTTAGTGATCTCCTCTGGTTTCCTCATCCAGATGGGCTTTTGTTTGTTCACTAATGACCACTCATGAGATACCTCCTTGATCTTCTTCTTTTTCTTTTCTTCCTTCTCTTTTTCCTCGTCAACCTCCTCTACTTTTCCCTCCTCATCCTTCTTATCTTCTTCATCTTCATCATCAGAAATCTCCTTCTCGGTAGTCTTCTCTATCCAGAGAGAAATTGGATAGCTGATGAACTCAGAATGCTTCTTGATGAGATCTTTGAGGCGGCGCTCCTCAAGGTACTCTAGTTGATCTTCTTTGAGGTAGAGGGTCATCTTAGTACCCCTCCCAAGGTTCTCACCAGAGGTGTCCCTGGTTACAGTAAAGGAACCACCAGCCTGAGACTCCCAAACATACTGCTCATCGTCATTGTGCTTTGAGACCACAATAACCTTCTCAGCAACCAAGTAAGCTGAGTAGAACCCAACTCCAAACTGTCCGATCATGCTCACATCAGCACCGGCAGCCAAAGCTTCCATGAATTCCTTAGTGCCAGACCTTGCAATAGTACCAAGGTTGTTCACCAAATCTACAAAAAGCATTTCAAATGAGAAATACAATAATTATCTCTAAGGTATTAGAACAATGAGTTACATAATTAGGAAAGACAACCCACCAGCTTTAGTCATCCCAACTCCGCTGTCGATAATGGTGAGTGTGTTGTTGGCCTTGTCAGGAATAATATGAATGAAAAGCTCAGGTTGGGATTCGAGCTTGCTCTTGTCAGTCAAGCTCTCAAACCGTATCTTGTCCAAAGCCTATTACATTGCAATATGTACAGAAAATTTACAAATCAGGTTATTTTAGGAATTCGCTCAATCAACTAACAGAATTGGCAGCCTATAAGATCATCACATGTATGGGGCAGACACATTTAGCAAACCATTGATCACAAAACACAAAAAATATACGTATTAACAAACATGAAAAAATATTTATGTATGTATGTATATATACATATATGGATTAACAGTATGTGCACACAGAATCGTTTACAATCTAACAAGAACATGCCTATCAATTTGTAAAACAAGAGGCCTTACATAAGCTGTAAAAGCAAAAAGTATTTTCATATCTCATCATTTATACACACACACACACACACACACACACATAAATATATCTCACAAATACTGATAAACATATGAAACAACCACAGAATCAATTAACTAGCTCTACAATATATTAGAAGATCATAAGGATGCTCTATGCATACACTTCAGATGCAAGTACAAATACATAAAAGAAAACCCACAGAATCGACCAACTATACAGTCATCTGTTTAAAAACCTAGGGATTCTCTGTCTTGTATAGAAAATACATGGAGAAAAATAAACGACAAGGCGAGAAACAATCAGATACTTAAAATCAGATCCCAAATCATCATTATGCCCTCATCTAAGAGGCCTTTCATAGTTTATCAAAAGCATTATATCATGTACATGCCCTAATATTGTACCAAAAACAATTTGTTCAAGAAATTAAGCACAAGAAAGGTTGACTTGATGGGTCAATCGCCAAAGTCATTCAAGATTGACTAAACGAAACATGAAATAGATGAACAAATCATATCAAAGCCAGGAAATCAATAGATCAAGAAACATACATCGGAGCAGTTGCTGATCAGTTCCCGAAGGAAGATCTCCTTGTTGCTATAGAACGTGTTGATAATGAGACTTAACAGCTGGTTGATCTCGGCCTGGAAGGCAAACGTTTCTGTGTCGGCCATTGCTGTAGAAGGACTGGTTAGGGTATCGATAACGACAAACAAAGGTTGGTGGAAGGCGCTGGATGCTATTAGGTTTCAGGAGATGGAGAAGCGGCTGGGGCTCGCTGGGTTATATATAGGCAACTCTCTAGGGTTTATAGTTTCTAGATCCTTCCAATTGCTAAGATCTGGACGTAAAGAATAATTTCCGAGTAACATTATAGTTACCATAAATTACGCAGCCCTCCCACTTTCTTTTCTCTAATCACTCTTCCTCCACTAATATCTTTTGTATTTCTACTACTAATTACTAAATTTGGCATTCCAACTTTTTGGGAAGAGTGAAACCCACCGGTGGAATAGGTAGAAGGGTCTTGGATCAAAACAAGACCATGGATTGATAATTTATTTATTTATTTATTTATTTTTATTATTAGTTTTTAGTTTGGCTTGGTCTTGGTTTAAAAAAGGGAATCGTTTATAAACAATTTGATTCTAATTTGACATCCTATAAAATTAAATCGAATTGAATTGTTAATAATACAATAATAATGCTTTCTGTAAAATTTGAAATTTAAAGCATTGTGTTTTGTTTGATAATTCTCATTTTCGTGATTTAATAGTGTTTTTCATGACCATTTTTTAATCATGTTTTAATTGTTATAAAAGCTCCTCTAGATTGTATTGATATGGATGTTTGTTTTTTGTTAATGAAATTGTACTTTGGCTAGGTAATATATATATATATATATATATTGGAATTGAACTTAAAATAATAATAATAATAATAATAATTATATATATATATATATATATATATATATATATATATTGGAATTGAACTTAAAATAATAATAATAATAATAATAATAGTAATAATAATAATAGTAGAACTAAAGCCAAACAAATCATTCTTTAACTTAGAGTTCAGTTTGGTTTTAAAATTTATGAAACCCTGGAAAGGGACTCCCAATTTTTGCATTATTCCAATTTTTGCATTATTTTAACGTGTGTGACCATTTAATCAATGCAACTAAATTTTAATAATTTAGAATGTTTAGAATTTAAGTCAATTGAAAGATGAGTTCCACTTTTAAAATCAAATGAAACATGCAATTTTAATTTATGGAGTTAATTTTTTTTTTTTTTTCTCAATTTACAAATTTTATATGAATGAAAAAGTGAAATATGTTCTCGTAAAATATTTATATATAAAAAAAAATTATTAAAGTTTAACAAAAATAATTTATTTATCAATTTTCGACAAAATATTTTACACTCTTTGTCTCATAGATTCAAATCATTCGACTTCAATTTTGAACTAAATCTTAACTGAACACCAAAAAATAAAATAAAATATATATTTTACTTAAAAAAAATATTTTTAGAAAAAAAATATTCTACATCGAAATGAACTGGATGAGTAATTTTTATGAAAAAAAAAACAGAAAATCTATAATTGAGTTAATTGAGAGAGAGAATCAAGCAACCCTAGTCATCTTCAACCTCAAATTAGTCATCTTCAACCTCAAATTGTGTTACATTTTCAGCTCTTCCGCAGTCATCATCTAGAAACTCCTAGGGTTTCTAGATCTTTCTATTGCTAAGATCTGTACGTTTGGAATAATTTCTTAGTAACTACATCTTACCATAAATTACGGAACCCTACCACTTTACTTATCTTTATTCATATTTCTGCATATATATTTCTTGTATTACCAAATTAGGCATGCCAAATTTAGAGTACTTTTTGGGACATAGTAAAATTTTGTCATCAAAGTCCTTTTACTATCTGGTGTCCTCATTGCTGTTGAATTGTAAAGCCGACCTTAACCTTACTACAGTGGAAGAGTTCTTGTTCTAACTTTTTTCTTAGAAATAGTCCGCAATTCTGAAGTTAAGAACTGCTTCTTAAAAATAATTTGTGTTATTATTATTATTTTTTTAAGAAAAAATAGGAAGAAAAAGTAGGTGAAATTTGTGAACAAATTTCTAATATTTCTTTTAACAAATATTCTTATTTTATATGAAAAAATAACATAAGGGAAAAAAATTAAATTACAGATATATTGTTGGTTAAGAAATAATTCATGCTCCCAAACAGATTATGCATGTTATTTAGCAGTAGAAAAATAATACTCATCGTGAAATTTTTTACGAAGCACGACCAAAAAAATTATTGACTTTAATTAACTTTATCATATACATGAATAATAGGGATTGAAAGGGAATTTATTAAATTAAAATTACATCAACTTGCACATGATTTTAAATTGTTTGGCCATTTGTCTACACATTTGAATCCAAATGATAATATTGTGATTAAAATTTAATTCAATTGATGAACAGATTCCAGTTTCTCGAATAAAATAAAATTTGATAGATACTAGATAGGACTCTAATTTATGAAGTTTGTTTGTTTGTTTTATTTATTTGTTTGTATTTTTTTCAATTTACAAAATGTAAAGATTTTTTTTCTTGATAAATTAGAGAGAGGGAAAATCCTGTGGGGTTGGCCTAGCCCAAGCGGATGATAATTGGGGTCCTTCCTTATGAAATATTAGGTTTCAGCTTTGAGTACGTGGATAAATAATTTCTATAAAGTACTAACACGATCTAAGTCACAGTGAGGCTAATCTCACCTGTAAATAGGGATATGGCGATTTGCCCCGCCCCATCTCATTTCTGACAATTTTAGGGGATCGTTTAGTTTATTTGGGTGGAACTGGTTTGATGTATTAAAAATCCGCATGGGGTTGGTGCGGGGCGGGGGGAGGTCGCCCTGCCCCGCCCCGCGTTACTCCACTTCACCCCGTTTAGATAGGTAAATTACTTAAGTACTCTTATTTCAGTAGTATATATATTTCGCATTAGTACCCTTATTTCATTAGTATATTAGGGGTGACAAATTACGGCATGAAACGACAACATGACATGAATTAAAAGGGTTTGGGTTTGGTATAAACGGGTTTGGGTCATAGAAGGGTTGACACGATTAACCCGCTTATTTAACTGTGTCGGGTTAGGGTTGAAGAGTTCAACTCGTGTAACCCGTTTATGACCCATTTAACTTAGCATATTATAATCGTGAATACGACATATGCAATATGTTACATATTTAACCCAACTACTATTGATAGTTAAGTCATTTCAACATAAACTTTGTCTATGTCTTATGATTTTTCTTTTTATTTTGAATATTTAAGTTAATTATGACAATTTTTTTTTTCTTCTATTATTTAGTATTTGATTAAATATTAAATGTCTTATTTTAATAAACAAGTCATTAAACGGGTTAATACGTTTATCTGTTTAATAAACGGGTTGTGTTAGTGTTGAGAATTCTTGATACGATTATGAAATGGGTTGGGTTTGAATTTACTTATTTAGTATAATACCCTTACATCGACACGACATGAACACGAATTGCCACCCATAGTATATACATTTAGATAGTTTGTTTTAATGTTGAATTTTATGTTAAAATATTTATTGTTTATTTTTTTTAATGAATCTTTTTAATAATTTTAGTTGATAACAAAAATTAAATGGAGAACAATTTATGATCTTAAACGGGACGGGACGAGTACCTGTGAGGGTAAAGATGTTAAACGGGGGCAAAATGGGGTGGAAAGTCCCCGTTTTTAAAGTTTTGGGAAGGACGGGGGTTGGGTTTTTAAAAGGTTGCGGGGACGAGGGAGGGTACACCTGCCCAAACTCGCCCCCGTTGTCATCCTTACCCATAAGGTATGGAGAGAGAGATTCAAATACGGGCATACTGGACAATTTACAAAATTTATATGAATGATAAGGTTTGAGGTAGAATATGAACCATGATCATAGTCATCATTATAATCTAACCCCATTAAATTGGAACTCAATACAAGTCTAACCAGAACTTAGGAACCCAAATTTGCAGTGGGCTTAGGGCCCACCGGCCCATATATGGTAGAATGTGGACAATCATTGACAGAGAGGACTTTTCTAATTATTATTATTTTTTACCCGGAAGGTGAGGACCTTTACTAAATTGCAAGGTCTTTACGAGGTAGTAGAATGTGAGTCGACGACACGCAGTCACACACTGCCACAACAAATGGGAATAGAAGAAGAAGATTCATTTTCATCGTCTGAATCAGAGTCAGAAGAAGATGATGATGATATCAAAATCAACGGGGTTGGAGAGAAATGGATAGAGCACTATTCTTCATCCCATCGAATTTTGTTGGTCGGAGAAGGAGATTTCTCTTTCTCTCTCTGTTTAGCCAGAGCTTTTGCCTCTGCCCACAACATGGTCGCCACTTCTCTTGATACCCACCGTAATTTCCAACTCCCTCTCTCTATATCTATATCTATATATCATTACAATTAATGGGTGTTTGATGATTTATCCAGTTATGGTGTTATATATATATGTATATGGGTGTGTTATGGTTTCAGAGGATCTAGCGACGAAGTACAGTAATGGGACTGAGAACGTGAGGCTGCTAGAAGAGATGGGTTGCATTGTACTCTCTGGAGTGGATGCAAAACAGATGAGCCAACATCACTTCCTCAAGACTCAGAGGTTCGATCGAATTGTCTACAACTTCCCTCATGTTGGTTTCATCTTTCCTGAGGGTAATGGCTGCCAGATCAAGTCAGTTCTCTCTCTCTCTCTCTGCATTTTCATTTAATTTATATAAATAGATACACAATTGATTACATGCTATAATACCTTTTGTTTTAGTACATATCATTTGTTGGAAGACTTGATTTTTGTATGTTTAAATTGGGTTTTTAAGTCACAAGTCTGAATATTTTTACTATGATCTCGTCCGGGTGGGGGAGGTTGAGTGTTCGGCCCTGATAGGGGCAATATTGTGTGTGTGGGTGTGTGCTTTCTTGAACTTTTGGAAAAAAAAGAAAAAGATTGAATATTTTTGTTTATTATTATATAATTCAATTTTTTGATGGTAACCTCAAACCATTTTTTTGCTTACATGTGTGTGAACACCTAAAAAGCTACTACTTAGAATTTTCTGTGTGTGATTCTTTTCCGTTCCAATCGTAATCATTGAAGGGGGCTATTGCAACTTTTTTTTCTTTTGCTTCCTAACATTGCCTTCAGATTGAAGGAATTGAAAGAAAAGGGAAAAGGAGGGATACTTTTGTTTGGTTCAAAAAAGAGGAGAATAATAAAAGGTAAAGGAGGAAAAGACCTTTCAAAAAAGTGAAAGATGGTTTAACTCCTTAACCCCCTTAAACAATGTTTCCTCTGTCCTTGTTCAACCTAAATTTTATAGAGATTAAGTCATAGGATACTTCCACAACAAAGACTTGAAAGAAATTGTGCAAAAATGAATTAACAATTTAGTGTGATTTTGTTAACTCGTTTGCTTTGCACATGCCTGCATCATGTTGGTAAAATGAAAGAAATTCGTTTTCATGAGAGTTGATCTTACTGAATTTCAACTTTCCTTGCATTCTAATTAGTAATTAACTACAATAATACTCTAATGACAACTACACCGAATTGGCCTACCTGCCTTCACCCGCTCTTGCTTTCATTGCATCCATGCAGCTGATTTGTGTACTGTGAAATCTTGTTATTATTTTTTATTTTGTGCGTTTGTTCATCTGTTTCTTCAAGGATTTTCTTGAAATGATATTGATGAGTAAAAATTAGAGTTAGATTAATTTGGTGGAACTGACTGATATAGGTTGAACAAACAATTGGTGAAAGGGTTTTTGAGGAACGCCAAAATTCTGTTAAGGAAGGAGGAAGGAGAGATTCATGTGTCCCATAAGGAAGGCGACCCTTACAACCAGTGGGACTTGGTTAAAAAAGCAGAGAAGATAGGGCTGATGTTGAATGAGAGCATTCCCTTCTGCAGGAACAAGTATCCTGGTTACGACAACAAGAGAGCCCACGGAAACTTTTCCGATGCCCCCTTCCATTTAGGGGATTGCACCACGTTCAAGTTCAAGCTAGCCCCCTCCTGCTAGTTTTCTTGGAATGGATTTTTCTTAGAATGGGAGTTGTATTGCTGTATATGTTTGTCTGTTGGCTATGACTTTAACGTCTGGGCTGTGTGACAAACAATGTCATTTTCTTTTTCTTTTTTTGCGCTGTGACCTGATTTGCCTCGTGTAATATATGTCTTCTTCTCTGTATGCTCATTGAGGCACAGTTGTAGACAGTGTAATAATCAGGTTCCCTAAGGTTGCAACTCTGGTGCGGCTAATGACATAATTTGATATATTTGGAAGAATTGAACAACCTTCAGAATACTAATTTATAAAGAAATGGTTCATGACATTTTTTGCACTCATTTTTCTTTGAAAATGCATTAAAATTTATTGGTTGGTTCCCTAGCTTTCTCAAGCATTTCCCTGAAAGCGCAAGTCTGCGTTTCTTAAATTTGCTAGTATTTTCCCTTGTTTTTCTTCACAATTTGGAAGTTACTCTGAGAAGCACAGGAAGTTCTTCATGTTGCACTGACTGTACACAACATGCTTTCAAGTAGAACATCCAATCCCTTTGTCAATAGGAGTCCGGATCTTTGGCTTGTCGCATTGGTGCTGTAGCGTTTGTCAACCCATTTGAATCCATATATTTTACATTTTAACACACAAAATAATGGGTTGAAATGACAGTTCATGTTTCTATTGCATTAGAGGGCCAATCCCGGGCCTAGGCGGTTGCCTAGGACTTCTAATTTGGGCCCCAAAAAAAAACTAGGCTCTGGGCTTCTCAAAATTTTGGGCCTCTTAAATTAGGACATTTGCCTGGGTCAAGGTGTTAAAAATGGATATAAGTGTATTGAAAAACGCTACAACAAAGATCGAAAATTCATAGCAAAGCAAAAACGTGGAATACGAAGGAAAATATGGTAAGAAGTGCAGCTGGAACCGGCATGAGAAGATGGATGGGGTTTCAATGAGACATAGAACTTGATTCTAGCAACCAATTTGACCGAAAGTTATGAGCAGTTATTGATGGTCCAATCAATAAAGCATCAAAGCATGAGAAAGACATCAGTGGCTGGCAGAAAAAGGAATTCATTTGAATCACTTAAAAAAAAATGATAGTAATAAACTTGAACTAGTCCACTATGCCCTCAAAACATTTTTATGCCCCATTATGATGAAATACTATTTTGTACATTTTTCTATATTTTCGGATAAAAGCAGAGCAATTTGAAAAGGTTTTATTTTTTTTAATCAAAATTTGACAAGTTTACTTTTTTTGGGTGACGAAACTTAAAAATTGAGGAAAACGTTATGGAATTAACAATATCTATTGATCAACTAAAGTCCTACATCTCTCACCCTATTACATAATCATTTGGAGTATTCTATAGCATTCTATAACCTCTTTTTATATACTTGTAAAGATTATTCTCCAAGTATTCTAAAACCTGTAATACTCCCTGTGGAGGGAAAAAAACTCCCTCCAATAAAAAGCGCACACGTCACCACTACCCATATCTACGTTTTAAGGACATATAAGGCCCATCATGCTCAAGCCTAAGTCGAGGGTATTTACAGCCCAAGACCATTGTTATTTGTCCTCCAACTTCCATCAAGGCCGAATCAAGAAGTCATCAGCCCAGCTTATGAGTATTTAACATTCGGCCTGTTACTCAAGCCCAGCCGGATCAAAATATATTCAGCCCAAGAACGCACAAGTCCTACCATTTGAAGGATTTACTGTAGAAGGAAAATTCTGATAGGAAGTTCTGTACAAGGCAAGTTCTATGTATGGAAAATTCGACAATGGAAAGAACTCTATTAGAAAAGAATGGTTATATAGAAAGAATTGGAGGGCAAACAACGCGAGTTCTACCATAATTTTGCAATCTTTTGTATATAAATAGAGGCTAAGACCTCCAATAAAGGATCAAGCAATTCTACGCTTCTCTACACACTGTTCTTATTTATTTTTATTGTTTTTGAGTGAGTTGTTTTATTTTTCTCAATCATTATTGGTTGAGCGAAATTTTGCACCTATACTTTGGCGCTGTCTGTAGGAAGCATATAAAAATATACTCTCATTTGTTCTTCAAATTAAATCCTTTAGTCGTGTCTGGAATGTCAAATGGAGAGTCAGCAATGAATCAACAGATAGAATTGATGCAAAAGATGCGAGAAGAGTTCTTGCACCAATTTGAGACACTCCGGCAAGCAAACGATACGAGTGTCGCCCAGATAGCTGCGCTTCAGCAGCAGACTCATACGCTGCACACGGCTATGGCCAGGCTAACGCCACAACCACCACCAAGCGATGCTGCGGCACCACCCCCCACCCGGAATTTACCTCCGGTTCACGAGCCTCCAGCCAACGAGACACCACCCAACGAGGCTCGACCTAGTGAGGTTCAGCAAAAGCAAGGGACGAGGTCCGAGGCGGTTGCTTCAGATAATCTCCCGCATCGCACACAGGACGAACAAGCCGAGTCCAGCCATAGGCTTACGGTATGGTCCAATGGCGTTCCAGATGGCGCACGCGTATAAGATGCATTCGACGAAAAGAAGCTCTTGAGAGTCCAGACACCAGCCGAGATGGCTAGAGAGCACAAGAACTCTTTGGTCAAGACCCCCTTTACTGACAAGGTGTACCTTGTGGAGAGGCCGAAGAAGTTCACTATGCCATCTTTCACCCAGTTCGATGGGGCAGGAGACCCCTCTCGGCATCTCGATCATTATGCGCAAAAGATGGCACTGGACGATCATAACGATCCGTGGATGTGTAAGGTTTTTCCTACCAGTTTAACCGGAGCAGCGTTAGAATGGTTCAGGAATAGGCCACACAAGTCTATCCCTAACTATGAGACCTTGTGCACTATGTTTTTAGCCCAGTATTGTGGAAATAAGAAGCAGAAGAAAAGTATCGCCAGCCTTTTCACCATAAGGCAAAGGAAGGGAGAAACTCTGCAAGATTTTTTATCCAGGTTTAACATGGAGGCCTCGGAGATAGCAGATTGCCATCCTGCCACGACAATCAAAACATTTAAGTTGGCAATGATCCAGGGAACCAAGTTTCACACATCCTTGGTCAAATATTCCCCCCCGGATATGCAGACTTTGAACGCTAGGGCACAAATCTACATTCGGTTGGAGGAAAACGTAGCCCACCGTGCACAGCACGCTACCCTCGTCATAGTGGAAAACAAGTCTCGAGAGAAAGCTGCGAGCACAAGGATGCAGAAGGTTCCTCATACCGCCACACAAGTCACCCAAGCGTCTGAGAAAAGGAGAAGGATAGAGGACAGGCTTACCCCTCTCCGTACTACCTTGGCGCGCCTATTCCAAGAGAATAAGACGAGGTTCGCGACTCCTCAGCCCATGAAACAACCCTTGGAGCAGAGGGACAAAAGCAAACATTGTGCCTACCATAGAGATTATGGGCATACCACCAATGACTGCAGGTCCTTACAGCGACAGGTAGAAAGCATGATAGCGAGAGGAGAATTGGTGGAGTATCTCGCCATGAAGGAGCACGTAAAACCTCGGGAGGTTAACCCTCGACGGGTAGAGGGCGGTCAGGTAAAGGTTATCCATGCTATACACGGAAGGTCAGAGGATGATGAAGAGTCTGAAGAGTTGTACAGATCCAGACTGAGAGAGGCTCATAAGTTACGAAGATTGTCTTCGGTAAACACGGTTGCACCAGGCAGCATCAACATTGGATTCGGTAACAATGATCTTTCTAGAGTCCAGCGCCCGCATGAGGACCCCTTGGTCATCAGCCTCCTGGTAGCGAATTACATGATCAGGAGAGTGCTGATAGATCCGGGAAGTAGCGCCAACATCATTACAAAAACAGCTTTTGATCAGTTGGGGGTTTCACCGTCGTCCATCAGGCCAACTTCCAGCCCCTTAATGGGATTTGATGGTACTAAGGTGAATCCGCTTGGGGTGATCGATCTATTCGTTACTGCAGCAAAGAGGACTCTGAAGGAAAACTTCGTCGTGACAGAGATTCATCCATCTTATAACCTCATTATGGGGAGAGGTTGGATCCATCGTATGAACGGAGTCCCCTCTACACTTCATCAAGTAATGAGGTGTTTATCCCCGGATGGCAGGGAGGTCATCGACCTCTGGGGAAACCAGGTTGCTGCAAAAGAATGTTACATGCTAACGCTACATGAAGCAAAGAAAGCGTCGAAATCACCTCAGTCAGAGGCGAATCCTAAAGAGTTAGTCCTCGGAGACCCTCAGAAGATCACCTACATTGGCTCATCTTGCATAGCCGAAGAGAAGGAAGCATTGATCAGGGTCATTCGGTGCAATTCGGATGTCTTTGCCTGGGATCACTCGGACATAGTGGGGATCGATCCTACAGTCTCATGCCATAGTCTGAGGGTTAACCCAGAGTTCAGGCCAGTCAAGTAGAGGCACCGACGGTTCGCACCTGAACGGAATCGCATAATAGCCGAGGTAGTAAATAAACTATTACAAGCAGGATTCATTCGAGAGGTGCAATACCCACAATGGCTCTCAAATATAGTAGTCGTTCAAAAGAAGAATGGGAAATGGAGGGTATGTGTAGATTATACCAACCTTAACAAAGCTTGCCCAAAAGATAGCTTTCCTCTGCCCAAGATTGATCAAATGGTGGATGCTACGATGGGTTATGAAAGGCTCACATTCCTCGATGCATACTCCGGCTATAATCAGATTCCCATGAATCCTGAAGATGAGGAGAAAACCGCTTTCATCACAGAAACGGGCACTTACTGCTACAGAGTGATGCCCTTCGGTCTAAAGAATGCCGGAGCCACCTACCAGCGACTTGTCAATAAAATTTTCAATAATCTACTGGGAAATACAATTGAAGCCTATATCGATGATATGGTGGTCAAAAGTATACGGAAAGAGGACCACCCGAAGCACCTCCAGGAGGTCTTTGATACTCTCAAGAGATACAATATGAAGCTGAACGCCACCAAGTGCTCATTCGCCGTCTCGTCAGGACAGTTCCTTGGGCACGTCGTAAATTAAAGAGGAATAGAAGTAAGCCCAGCTCAGGCAAAGGCACTCATACAGAACCAGGAGCCGAAAACCCGCAGGGAAGTGCAAGTTCTAACCAGCCGAATTGCGGCTCTCAGCCGGTTCATATCCCGATTATCTGATAAGTATAAACCTTTCTTTGATGCTATTCGATCCAAAAACAAAGACATGTGGGGACCTCAGTAGCAGGAAGCTCTCAATCAATTGAAAAGCTATATGACAAAACCCCCAATCCTTTCTGCTCCAACGCCCGGAGACACTCTCATCCTGTACCTGGCAGTATCAGCTGTAGCAACAA